CTACACACTTGGAACCTCTGAACCCCCCAGCTCAGAGCACCTTTTCCCAGCCACGATCAGTACATGGACCAGGACTCTCTCAAAATCTGTACCAGACAGACAGACAGACCTCCAGGACAGACAGACCTCCAACGACTCAGACCTCCAGACAGACAGACCAGACCTCCAGACCAGACAGACAGAACCCTCCAAGACATACAGACCTCCACCCAGACAGACAGACCCAGAACCTCCAGACAGACAGTACAGACCTCCAGACAGACCAGAAACCCCACGACAGACAGACCTCCAGAACAGACGACAGACCTCCCAGACATACAGACAGACAGACAGACCTCCAGACAGACAGACCTCCATACCTCCAGACAGACAGACCTCCAGACCTCCAGACGAGACAGACCTCCAGACCTCCAGACCAGACAGACAGACGTAACTTGCATCAAGCCAGTTGTGTGGCAAAGCCCCAGTGAAAACAGTGAAATTCCACACCCCAGGGGCGTTTCCCAAATGACTATTGAAGTCCTGGTCAAACGTACTTGCACTACTCTAGGGGACATTGGTGTCATTTGGGAACGCAGCCCTGAAGACACTGATTCCCATCAATAGAACAGAGACATCTGACTCACTAAAGGGTTTAAGTGAAGAGGTGGAGGGGTGTGAATCTGCTGTGTGTGGGGGGTTGGTTCTTCTACCCTGGTGGGAACCTAAAATCCCCATAATTCCCCACAGGATAGTAAAACAAGGAATAATATCCCTCATGGGGACATTTCCCACCTCCCCATCAGGGCAAAGGCTATTTTAACCTTAGGGGTTAGGTTTAGGGTTACAATTAGGTCTAGGATTAGAATTAGGGTAAGAAGTTAGTGGTTAGGAGTTCGATTTAGGGAAATAGTATTTTGAATAGAAATACATTTTAGGTCCCCACAAGGATAGAAGAGCATAACGTCTGGGTGTGTGTGTCTGCGTGCGTGCGTGTTAATGAAAAACACACAAGGGCCACTGTCATCTCAAAAGTCACAGTTATTATTTAAATTATTAAAATAATAATAATTAATCAATTAAAGAGGCAATCCGCAGTTGCTACATCAATTTTGGACGTATAAATTTGGTATATATAAGTCCCCAAATTAGTTAGCACACCTAACGTAAGCCTATTTTCAGATGAATACATTTGAAAAGTGTGTGTGTGTGTGTGTATTCATCCATGCACCATTTGTTGTTAACTGATAATTCCTTTGTAACGGTGGGGCATTATCGCGTGTCCAGTTACTCACAATGCTTCCTTGGAAAACAGGTCCACCTGGCAACGCAGCGCAAATGCAAAAAAGTTATTCTTCACTTCCCCTGTGTGGCTGTTGTTATGCGGAGACTCCGTTCACTACAATCTTGTGTCGGATCGCAGTGTTTTTAAAATCAGGTATCACCAATTCTCCACAAAATGTCTTCGGAAGTTTTAGTGTCCAGACCCCATTTCGACAGCAGGTCAGTTGCCCAAGCAGGCGATCCGCTCCCGCCCACAGACGCAGAGGCCACATTCATGGAGGGCTTGCATCCCTCCTCCGGCTTGGCTACCGCGGGGTACCGTTCAGCCAAGTACAGCGCGGAGGAATGGCACGTCAATAACTTCTCTAACCCTTCACCAGGCCGTTATAGACCGAAACAACGCCGAGAGGATTCGCCATGAGTCCAAAACACTGTATACGGAGACCGAGGCCGGGACTCTGCGCACCCAAGCTGAGGGGACGCGGCACCTAGGCGAGAGACTGCAGGATATCCACTTCTGGAAGTCGGAGCTGCAGCAGCACATCGAAAAGCTGTTGGCCGAGACAGACCTCCTCCTGCGTCAAAAGAGAAGGCTGTTGAAGGCGCTGGACGCCACCGAGATCCCGTTCGCCATTGCCACGGATAACCTAACCTGTCGGGAACGGCGGCTGGGGCCCGACCTGGTTAAAGACCGCGTAGAGGAGGAGCTGCTTAAGGTGATTAAAACAATAAGATCGATTTGTCTTTGCTCAAGTAAACCTAAATACTTGTATCATTACAAAATGTTACCTAGACGTTATTTCACTAGACACTCATCCGAAAATAACTTGATGTTTGTGTGCCACAGGAAGTGGAGTTGATCAGGAGCATCCAGGCTCTGTTGAAGAGAACGCTGAGTCAGGCTGTCAATCAAATAAAGTGAGTGACACAATTAGACACCTCTCCCCGCATTCATTTCAACCAACATTAATATTTCAGATGCATCAGCAATAACTACATAAATGGTTCATTTATAAGATCCTCTCTTTTAATTTTATTGTGTAATCACACATTTCCGCACAATTAGTCTAGGAAAGGCCTAAAGGACGACAGCTGAGCTGGGTTGCAGCCTATTCATTAGGCACTAAACAAAGGAAAATAGACTCAAACAGGGAAGGACTACCTGAAGTTGCCCAATAAGAAACGCTCGTTTTCGTTTTCCATTGCAAATTGTTTTAAGTTTTGCTCAGTGTGCACCGGTATGGGTGGTCCTCTGTAGCTCAATTGGTAGAGCATGGCGCTTGTAACGCCAGGGTAGTGGGTTCGATCCCCGGGACCACCCATACGTAAAAATGTATGCACACTTGACTGTAAGTCGCTTTGGATAAAAGCGTCTGCTAAATGGCATATTATTATTATTAATGAATGTGACCCTGATATGGGTAAAAAGGTGTCCTTTGAGTTTTAGTCTTATGGCGCCCCCTACTGTCTGCAGTACGTAGGTACTCGCACAAACCATTCAAAGGAAAAAGCAGGAGGCCGAGATGCTAAAAGGGATAGGAGATGGATACCTAGTCAGTTGCACAACTGAATACATTCAACTGAAACGTGTCTTCTGCAAAAAGTGCTACTGCAACGTGCCAACAGTCATTACTTTACTAACATTGGTCCATTTGGTCCAAAAAACATAGTTAGCACATTTAACATAGGCCTATTTTCAGGTGAATACATTTGAAACGTGTGTGTGTATGTGTGTTCATCCATCAACCATTTGTTTTTAGCCTACCTGAAAATTCATTTTGAACAGTGGGGCATTGTCGTGTGTCCAGCTACACACACAGTGCTTCATTGAAAAATGGTAACCTGGCAACGCAGCGCAAATATAAAAAAAAGTTATTCTTAATTTCACTACCCCTGTGTTGCTTAGCCCCCTGCTGTACTCCCTGTTCACCCACGACTGCGTGGCCAAGCACGACTCCAACACCATCATTAAGTTTTCTGACGATACAACGGTGGTAGGCCTGGTCACCGACAACAATGAGACAGCCTATAGGGAGGAGGTCAGAGACCTGGCAGTGTGGTGCCAGGACAACAACCTCTTCCCTCAATGTGGGCAAGATAAAGGAGCTGATCATGGACTACAGGAAACGGAGGGCCGAGCACGCTCCCATTCACATCGACGGGGCTGTAGTGGTCCAAATACACCAACACAGTCCTGGAAAGGGCACAGCAACGCCTCTTCCCCCTCAGGAGGCTGAAAAGATTTGGTATGGGTCCTCAGATCCTCTAAATGTTCAACAGCTGCACCGTTGAGAGCATCTTGACTGGCTGCATCGCATCCAACCGCAAGGCGCTACAGAGGGTAGTGCGTACAGCCCAGTACATCACTGGGTCCGAGCTCACTGCCATCCAGGACCTCTATACCAGGCTGTGTCAAAGGAAGGCCCTCATAATTGTCAAAGACTCCAGACACCCAAGTGATAGACTGTTCTCTCTGCTACCGCATGGCAAATGGTACCAGAGTGCCAAGTCTGGGACCAAAAGGCTCCTGAACAGCTTATACCCCCAAGCCATTAGACTGCTGAACAGTTAATCACATGGCCATTAGACTGCTGAACAGTTAATCACATGGCTATTAGACTGCTGAACAGCTAATCACGTGGCCATTAGACTGCTGAACAGTTAATCACATGGCTATTAGACTGCTGAACAGTTAATCACATGGCCATTAGACTGCTGAACAGTTAATCACATGGCCATTAGACTGCTGAACAGTTAATCACATGGCTATTAGACTGCTAAACAGTTAATCACATGGCTATTAGACTGCTGAACAGTTAATCACATGGCTATTAGACTGCTGAACAGCTAATCACATGGCTATTAGACTGCTGAACAGTTAATCACATGGCCATTAGACTGCTGAACAGTTAATCACATGGCTATTAGACTGCTAAACAGTTAATCACATGGCTATTAGACTGCTGAACAGTTAATCACATGGCTATTAGACTGCTGAACAGTTAATCACATGGCTATTAGACTGCTGAACAGTTAATCACATGGCCATTAGACTGCTGAACAGTTAATCACATGGCTATTAGACTGCTGAACAGTTAATCACACGGCTATTAGACTGCTGAACAGTTAATCACATGGCTATTAGACTGCTGAACAGTTAATCACATGGCCATTAGACTGCTGAACAGTTAATCACATGGCCATTAGACTGCTGAACAGTTAATCACATGGCTATTTCACTTCTGCTTTTCACCCCCTACCAGACCCTCACACTGGCTTTCTGCCCCCTACTGTCTCCCACTGTGTGTGTGTATCAGGTGTAACAGAGATGCCAAGCAGACTCTAGAGCTGGACTGGTCTGATAAGTACCAGGCCTACAGTCTGGATGACCAGTGTGGTCGCTACAACAACATGAGTACTGACACACAGTACCACTCCAACTCAGCCAACCTCCAGGACCAGTGAGTCGCTGTATTACACACTCTTTATTTTTATTAAATATATATTTTATTGGATGTATGAGTGCATACAATTCTTGACATAATTATGCACAAATATATCCTTTAAAAAGATTCTTACACACTCTATTTCACACAAATGTAACACAATACGTTTGCAATTCTAACATGTTCCTTGGCATGTAAATTACTTCAGATTTTCCTTCAGTTTCTGAAAGTCCTGTTGAAAGTTATTCAGATGGGTATAAGAGCCTTGCACCAAGACGGTACCGGTGTGATAGAGATTGACTGTAATGACGCCCTTTAAGTGACTGTCTTCCCCATACACGTTGACCTGTATGGCATCGTTGATGTCTCTCTCTTCAGTGTTGGGGTAAGTTTGACACAGGGCACTACGCCAGGCCGTGGGGTGGGCTGTGTAGAAAACATAGTTGGTTTTGACTCTGTTCTTGCCCAGTGCTTTTTTGTAATCCACTATCAGAGTCTCCGGATGTTTCCTCAAGACTTTCCTCTTGTGATGTTTCCCAGCCTCAGAATCCATACCTTCAGGGTATTGGATTTCAATGGTCTGCACCACACCTATACTGATGCTGCCTCAATGGTCTGCACCACACCTATACTGATGCTGCCTCAATGGTCTGCACCACACCTATACTGATGCTGCCTCAATGGTCTGCACCACACCTATACTGATGCTGCCTCAATGGTCTGCACCACACCTATACTGATGCTGCCTCAATGGTCTGCACCACACCTATACTGATGCTGCCTCAATGGTCTGCACCACACCTATACTGATGCTGCCTCAATGGTCTGCACCACACCTATACTGATGCTGCCTCAATGGTCTGCACCACACCTATACTGATGCTGCCTCAATGGTCTGCACCACACCTATACTGATGCTGCCTCAATGGTCTGCACCACACCTATACTGATGCTGCCTCAATGGTCTGCACCACACCTATACTGATGCTGCCTCAATGATCTGCACCACACCTATACTGATGCTGCCTCAATGGTCTGCACCACACCTATACTGATGCTGCCTCAATGGTCTGCACCACACCTATACTGATGCTGCCTCAATGGTCTGCACCACACCTATACTGATGCTGCCTCAATGGTCTGCACCACACCTATACTGATGCTGCCTCAATGGTCTGCACCACACCTATACTGATGCTGCCTCAATGGTCTGCACCACACCTATACTGATGCTGCCTCAATGGTCTGCACCACACCTATACTGATGCTGCCTCAATGGTCTGCACCACACCTATACTGATGCTGCCTCAATGGTCTGCACCACACCTATACTGATGCTGCCTCAATGGTCTGCACCACACCTATACTGATGCTGCCTCAATGGTCTGCACCACACCTATACTGATGCTGCCTCTAAGGCCTGTTGTTGGTGGTGTTGACAAAGTCTCTGCTTGAATATGCTTTATTCCAGCTCCCTCGTGAGGTTTTACTGTCAGCATTTTAGACTGTGAGGTTGGCCACCTCAGGCCTCCAAACAGTCCTCGTAAAGGTCTTTCCAAAAATGTTCCAAAAACTCTGAACATTTCAAATGATGTTGGAAACGCTGACTCTCAGGTAAAAAAACACAAAAAAAGAGGTATGTTTATCTTCAGTGTCTGACATTGGTCAGGATTAAATAGACAACAACAATCTGGGGAATCTGTCCCTCTGTTCTAATGTAGCCTGTTGAACATGCAAAACATGCAGAGAGATCAGAATGTTGGGATTATAATGAGATCAAATGTTGTGATTATGAGATCCGAATGTTGTGATTATAATGAGATCAATGTTGTGATTGTAATGAGATCAGAATGTTGTGATTATAATGAGATCAGAATGTTGTGATTATAATGAGATCCGAATGTTGTGATTATAATGAGATCAAAATGTTGTGATTGTTATGAGATCAGAATGTTGTGATTATAATGAGATCAGAATGTTGTGATTGTAATGAGATCAGAATGTTGTGATTATAATGAGATCAGAATGTTGTGATTGTAATGAGATCAGAATGTTGTGATTATAATGAGATCAGAATGTTGTGATTATAATGAGATCAGAATGTTGTGATTGTAATGAGATCAGAATGTTGTGATTATAATGAGATCAGAATGTTGTGATTATAATGAGATCAGAATGATCAGAATGTGAGGCAGAAGTACTAACTTAACATCTCAAATCTTAAAGTGCATACAGCTCTGTCAATGGCTGAGGTGAATGTGGTGTGGGAGTCAGGCGCAGGACACCGAAGCTTAGTCCAACAAAGTTTACTAGTGCAACACAAGGCACAATACAAATGAACGGCCTCAACATGAACCAGAGGCGAGCGATTACGCAAACTCTGCGTAAACTTCAAAAACAACAAACAGAGAAAACACGCAGCACTAATGGACAGGCGAATAACAACACACAAACTAACCAACACAAAACAGGCAACTTATAGGACACATAATCAGACACAAACGGACACAGGTGCAATAGACAGACAAAAGCAATCAAACACTGAAACATCTAACGGTGGCAGCTAGTACTCCGGGGACGGCGAACGCCGAAGCCTGCCCGAGCAAGGAGGAGGAGCAGCCTCGGCAGAATCCGTGACAGTACCCCCCCCTTGACCCCGGCGACGACCAGGAGGACGCGGAGCCGGGCGCGTGGGATGACCACGGTGGAACTCAGTCAGGAGAGATGGATCTAGGATATCCCTCCTAGGCACCCAGCACCGTTCCTCCGGACCGTACCCCTCCCACTCCACGAGATACTGGAGACCCCCCATCCGACGTCTCGAGTCCAAGATGGTCCTGACCGTGTACGCCGGAGCTCCCTCGATGTCCAGAGGGGGCGGAGAGGGGTCTCTCTTATCTCACCTTCTTGGAGTGGACCAGCTACCACCGGCCTGAGAAGAGACACATGGAACGAGGGGTTAATATTCTTATAATCAATAGGCAGTTGTAACCTGTAACACACCTCGTTCAATCTCCTCAGGACTTTAAAGGGCCCCACAAACCGCCGACCCAGCTTCCGGCAGGGCAGGCGGAGGGGCAGGTTTCGAGTCGAGAGCCAGACTCGATCTCCCGGTGCGTACACCGGACCCTCACTGCGGTGGCGATCAGCGCTCGCCTTCTGTCGACGGATGGCCCGCTGCAGATGGACATGAGCAGCGTTCCACGTCTCCTCCGAGCGCCGAATCCATTCGTCCACCGCAGGGGCCTCGATCTGGCTCTCGTGCCATGGTGCCAGGACCGGCTGATACCCCAACACACACTGGAAAGTGGTTAGATTAGTGGAGGAGTGGCGGAGTGAGTTCTGTGCCATCTCTGCCCAGGGGAGATACCTAGACCACTCCTCCGGCCGGCCCTGGCAATAGGACCTCAGAAACCTACCCACATCCTGGTTGACTCGTTCTACCTGCCCATTGCTCTCTGGGTGGTAACCCGAGGTAAGGCTCACCGAGACCCCCAAGCGTTCCATGAACGCCCCCCAGACTCTGGAGGTGAACTGGGGACCTCGGTCAGACACTATATCCTCGGGCACCCCATAGTGCCGGAAAACGTGGGTAAATAGGGCCTCAGCGGTCTGTAGGGCAGTAGGGAGACCCGGCATTGGGAGGAGACGACAGGCCTTAGAAAACCGATCCACAACGACCAAAATAGTGGTATTCCCCTGGGAGGGGGGAAGGTCAGTCACAAAATCCACCGAGAGGTGGGACCATGGTCGTTGTGGAACGGGCAGGGGATGTAACTTTCCCCTGGGCAAATGTCTAGGCGCCTTACACTGGGCGCACACCGAGCAGGAGGAGACATAAACCCTCACATCCCTAGCTAACGTTGGCCACCAGTATTTCACGCTAAGGCAGTGCACTGTCCGGCCAATACCTGGAGGTCCAGAGGAGGGTGATGTATGAGCCCAATAAATAAGGCGGTCACGAACCTCGAGCGGAACGTACGTCCGCCCCACCGGACACTCTGGGGGAGTAGGGTCGGTACGCAGTGCCCGCTCGATCTCCGCATCGACCTCCCACACCACCGGAGCCACCAGACAAGACTCTGGCAGTATGGGAGTAGGCTCAATGGACCTCTCCTCTGTGTCATACCGCCGGGACTGTTAGGCCTACTGCTGCTAGGTATCTCTCTCTCTGCTCTCCCCCTCCCTTCTGTCTGTCCTTGATTGCAGGAGTGAAGTCTGGTGTGCGGGAGTCAGGGTTCCAGCTGCAGCTCATTCACCATAATCACCTCAGTCTTTAAGACCCGGTCAAACTTGCCACTCATCGTCAGATCATAGTCAAGACGACCATGTTAGTCTCGCTGTCGACTCAACCTGTTTGTTTTCGCTCTTTGTGTTTTTGGCCTGTTCTATTTTATTTTCTCCTGTGCCACAGATTATTGGAACCTGACTCCTGCCTCCGCTTCACTCCTGCCACCACCATCCTGCTTTCCACTACCGGACCTCCCTCTTGGACTCATCACGGACACTAGGACATTACGGTACCACCCCTGCCCTGACCTGGATCTGTTACCCTCCCTATAACCTGGACTTGCTCTTCCCCTGCTATTGGAAACCTGGACTATTGTACATTGTAAATAAACCTGTTAAACCTTCTCTGGCTTGGTGTAGTTGTCTGCATTTGGGTTCTATCCAGTTAAATCATGACAGTATGATCTGACCAACATGAACCCAGCAGACAGTAGCTCGGATACCACCCCAGAGTGCACTCAAATTCGGACTGCCATAGCCAATCAGGACATTTTACTTGGCCAACATGATACCCTGGTTAAGACTATTGCTGAGAACAGTCAGGTGCTGTTTAATCAGGTTCAATTACTCACCAATCAAGTGTCTGCCCTTACTACCCAAGTTAATAATGCAACCCTCGGGCATGGCATACAAACTGCCCCTTCTCCTGCTCCACCTGTTTTTCCTGGTCCTCCAGCCCAGATCAGAGAGCCTTTTGTTCCTGCTCCAGAGCGCTATGATGGGAACATG